GCACGTTTTTATTGTGTATTTAGCATTTAATTTTATTGTGATAAAGTATATCAATAAATAAAGAAAATAAATAACAATACACAATGATGAAATTTATTTACAGTGTGTTACAAAAGTCTTTGGACAAATAAATTTGGTCACTACTCCACAATTACCATGCTATGTCATGTGATCAAGCATTCATTTGAAAGCTTAGAATTAGGAGATTTTATTAAAAAAATTTAATAAGGAATTCGTTCCCCATTATTATCAATAACAAGCTGAAAATGTTCATTCATTGACCTAATTAAATTAATTATAACATTTTGTGGGATATTATCCCATTCTTCCACCATAAACCTCTCTAACTCTGCGATATTTTTTGGTTGTCGCATTTCCACATTTCTCTTAATGATGGCCCACATGTTTTTTATGGGGTTTAGATCAGGACTATTGGAAGGCCAGTCCATTACAGATGGAACGTTTGTTTGAAGAAATTCTTTGGCCACACGGCTAGGATCGTTATCCTGTTGGAGCCGCCAATTCCTACCAAGCATCTGATTAGCTTCAGGAAGGTGTTTCCTTACGATATCAACATACAATGGGCCAGTCATATTATCACGGAAACAAAAAAGACTGGTTATTATTATTATAATGTTTGGGGACATTAATTTTGGCCAATCATATGCTTTACACGACTTAAAAAGCCTGCGCCACAAAAATTGTGGATTCACCTCAATTTAATGTTAATATCATTGACTGTTCGGCGATTTGTCTAAATGTGAAGAATTTGAAAATATACTTGCGTGGAAAAACGTGTTTCTGGCGGATATCTTGCTTGATATCTATGAGAATAATTTTGCTTGAATAGAAATTATTAAATTATAAAAACAATTTTAATAATTACTTGCTATGCTCGCATAAAGTTTGATGATTTGGAATTTTTAGGCCTTGGAATTATTAATTGATTTCATATTAATTTATTAAGTGATAAGATTTATCATCCTATATTGTTAGAAAGCCTTCGATTCGATGATGAAAATTATTGTAATCAAATGTCTTTCTTCTATTTATTTACAATAGGAATCTTTAAATGTGTCAAATTTCAAATAGAATCCACATAAAAATCCAAATTAAATCTATATATATATATATATTTGATATGCGAAAGAATTTACAAAATAATGCGTATATATGCAAGACCCTAAGAATAATATATAAATAATCTATAATAATAAAGATTATATAATAATAAAAAATTGATTAATCTTTTAAAATTATATATATTGTCATTTAATGAAAATCAAATTATCTTCCAAGCCATTGAAAACAATATGATTGTTTTCCGTCATATGATATAAATCTTGAAGACACCATTTTGTGACTTCGAATGTTTTCTTCTACTTTAACCCATATCCTTTCCTGATGTGATTTGTCATTAACCAATTCTCTTAGTATTATTTCACGCCATGCTAATGAAATTACTGTTGGTTCTGACTTGAGTACACAAAATAAATGATCAGTGGCCTGCATCTCCAACCTCCGATCTCTCTGTCGTTTCCTTATACGACCAACCAACCAACCCAATATAACGATAGAAATGAAACAAGCTAAAAATATTTATATAATAATAATAACATTAAAAAACTTTGTAAAATAAAATAATTAATTCAAAAATATTACTAATTCAAAAAATCAACATGCCAATTGCATAATAAGGGTTGTTTGTAATTAAACCCTTTAATCTTGCAGTACACATTATAGTATAAGTTTCTTCTTTAGGAAATATATAGAAATTTGTACCATCATATAGATTGCCGCTAAATTAATTAATTAATTTTTATTATTTTAGGAAAAAAAAGGAAAGTCATCAATTATTGAATATAAAGTTACTTGTTTATAAATCCAATATTGAGATCAGGATCACTTTTCAATTTTTCGAATCCACTTTCAAAAAATTTTTCAAACTCCTCATCAGAATCTTTATACTATATTGTTTATATCATTAAAGTGAATTATGTGTGAGCAATGGTTTTTTTTTTAAAAAAAAATCATGTTAAAAATAATAAAAGTAGTATATATATACCATTAAAATTCTTATTTTTGATTTAAGATTTTTCAAATTCATTGTCTCTCTACTTTCATTATTACATACTATTTTTTCATGTTGAAGAATGGCAGCTCTTTTAAGAGCTTCAGAATAGAATGCGATTTTTTCTTCCATTCCCATTTCAGCTTCACAATAATTCGAAGCCATCTCATAAATAGAAAAATCTGATTTCAAAATTTTATAACCATCTACACATGATACTATTTTACCATCAACACAATTAGATGAACCGGGACATGGTATGCAAACAAGACTTCTTAAAAGATCTATTACATGAATAATAATAGTAAAATTAAAAAAATTATATTTCCAAAATATATATATATTATTTTAAAACATATAAAACTTACCATTATTTATATCATAACTATCATTAATATTGTCACAATATCCTGCATAATTTTTTATTCTATGATAAAATAATAATATTATGAAAATGCTTAAGATAATTTTTTTTATTATTTTATTTCTTTGATCTCTTTCTGATTCATATAAAACTTCAGGATGTGGTATTCGGTTTATTCGTTTGATATAAATATTTTCATAAATTTCAGTTCCAAACCAACAATATCTTAGAATATCATAATGTAGTTCATTCGATGAATTTTTATCCAAGACTTGTGAAGAAGCAATAGGTGGGACTGGATGATTTGAAAACGATGATGGCGGTTCATTGATTGATGGCGGTGATGGTGGCAATGATGGTTGTTCCCTCTTTATGGTAATAGATTCATTAGTCTTTATGGACGATGATGATCCATCAGTTGTAAATGAACCATTGATTTTTGATAATGATTGTTGCTGATATAATGGTTTTGATGTAATTAGTTCATTATCATCATCATCGTCATCATCATTAATATAAATAGGATTATTGTTTGTTGTTTCAGTTATAGTATTTTGTGATTGTAAAATAAAAGAATTATCTGGTGGATTCTTAGTAATTATTTTAGGTGAATGTTGTTGTGATCTGTTATTAGGTACTTGATGTATTGTATGTGGTGTTCCATTTCTACAACTTGCACCTCTTCCAAATGCATCATTAGCAGGAGGTGATTGATTTCCTTGTCTAACAACCTAAATTTCGACAATTAAATAAATTTATGACTAAAATATAATTAGGATAAATTTTGGAAAGCCCTATTTAAAATGCAATATTTACCCAATTTTCTGTCAGAATTTGTGGAGATCTGTTTCGAATTTTTTCTTCAAATAATTGTACAAGATCTGCTTTCTTGCTGGATGTCCGGAATACGACATCATTCTGTTTAAGGATCTCCTTTAAACGAGTTACAGTTAAGTCGTTAGGCATAAAGCCTGGTTGTAAATAATCTTGACAAGAGCTCATTTAAATTATTATTTTTGGGTTTTTGAAAATATTTTTATTAAATTTTTTGTACACAATATAACAAAAAAAGGTAATTAAATGAAGACCCTAGGGTTATCAATCACACCCCATTGCTGATCTTATTAATTTATATATTAATATTAATATTATATACTAATACTATATAATACTAATTATCAGATAGTACTACGTCAAAATTTTACCTTTTCAACAATGATCAATTCACAACAAACATCATCAAATACACAACAATATAAATCAAAAAGGCAACAAAAAATAGCCGAAAAATTATCTAAAAACAAACAATCATCAAACACATCTACAAAAACTTGTTTTCGCGATGCTGAACGCAACTTCAAATCTCGTTTACCTCCACCTGATTTTAGTAATGTAATTGATTTTTATAATTTAGAAGATAATAATTGTAATAATCAAAAAATAAAAGATAGCAATGTTATACAAGTTGAGTTAAATATTGATTTGGGTGAAAGACTCGTTGAATTATTTTCTAATTTAAATGATAATGATAAATCAACTAATAATAAATTGGATGATAATGATGGTAATGAAAATAATAGTGATGAAAAAAGAAATAAAAAAAAAGCATTTTTAATCAAGAATTTACCTGGTAAATATAAATAAATATATGATTATCAAACATTAAATTCATTTATAATAACAATTTTAATATATTTATTTTTCAAAAAAAAAAAATAACATTTATCAAAGGTTTTATTTTTATTCCTAATCCCTTCACTCCTGCAATTCAAAAATTTATCATTAAAAAATGTTTAAAAGATTATGCAAAATCTCCAAATATAAGCAATCTTGATACTCATTATCTATTGCCTAAAGATGGACTTTGGAACCTTCATGAAAAATATTTTAATAAAGATCATGATGATGAGAAGGATGGGGAAAACGAGTATTTACCACCATTAAAATCATCACTCTCATCGTCATCAACGTCATCATCACCGTCTATTAATAACCAATATTATGACGATGAGAAAAATGATCCTTCTCCTTCTCCATCTGTGCCACTTCTTAGGCCATCTCAACTAATTAGAAAACTTAGATGGATAACTCTAGGTTATCAATATCATTGGCCATCAAAAACTTATCATTTTGATAGAAAATTTCCATTTCCTAAAGATCTTGAGAATTTAACAAAATTAGTGGTCCTGGCAATCAATGGATTATCTGACACTCATAATAATCTCTTGTTTGATTATTCTCCCGAGGAATGGAAACCAGAAGCCGGCGTGGTTAATTTCTATCAATCAAAAGATAGTTTAATGGCTCATATTGATAAAAGTGAAGAAAACATGTCTGCTCCTTTGATTTCTTTTAGGTAATACAGTAAATATATATATGTATGTATGGGATTATGTGTATGCATATATTATTGACATTTATATATATACACATTTTTACCTTAAATAAAAGTTTTGGACACTCTTGTATTTTCTTAATTGGTGGGCCAACACGTGACATACCTCCAGAAGCGTTATATTTACGAAGTGGTGATATATCAATAATGTATGGTCCATCCAGGGCTAATTTTCATGGTAACTTTATATTATAATTATTCTTATTTATTGCTATTATATGATATTTAAGATATTTAAATAAATTATTTTATAATAAGGAGTTCCAAGGATTCTTGAAAATACACTTCCCTCCTATCTAAAACAAAGCAACAACAATGATCCGGATTGGAATATTTATGCTGAATACATGTCTACGTCACGTATTAACGTTAATGTTAGACAAGTATTTTGAAAAAATTTATAGAATCGAATGTGTTTTATTTAATAAATAGAGGTCTAAAAAAATATACCATTTTTAACACATTGGTAAAATGTACATGCTTAAATTCTGAAGGAACTTAATAAACATCGCTTCATTGTCGGTGTCACCTGTTTTTTTACTTTTAAACTTTTTGATTATCTGGTCATATATTAGTAAAGTCTCCTTTGATGACACCCTGCATTTTGTTTTGTTTTGGCCTTTTGGAATTCCCAATTGCTACAGATGGTCGACAATCCAGAATCCTTGAATGTGTCAATTCCTAATTTAACTCATTTCGGGATCCATTCGTAGTCTTGCCGCGTCCAACGATATGTACTACTTTTTAAAATGATGTCATGGAAACACTCTTAATAATATTTTCTAGAATGAAACAAAGGGACATTAGACAAAACAACAATAAGCATTTATCTGTTGTTGCTAATACACATTTATTCGTTATCAGATGAAATACAGTTTCAAGCACTGGAAAAAATCCTTTTATACAGCCGAAAAAACCTTACCGACCCATATCTGTTTCGAATACACATATAAATGCGGGCACATGTGACCGACCGACCATTAAATTTTTATTTAAAAATAACGATTAAACATAAAATGTTTTTTTATAGAATTACTTGTTATGAAAGCTTTCGAACATTTTGCTTCTTCTAATTTGATGTTGCATTATTTCTGATACTACTGAACTATTTATCTTATATATCGGAATGGTTGTTGTAAATATTTGACATTAGGATACCCATATTTTTCTGGTGCAACAATTATCTCATCATTCAGCATTTCTATTCTATAATTAATTAATCATCTATCAATTAATAAATAAGTGCACACAGTCAAAATTTGTTACAGTGGATCCTCAGTTCCATATGTAATCTTTATTTTTTTCCCCATTGTAATGAGAAAAATATCATAAAAAAAACCTGGTGTTGAAAATTTTCATTGGATAATAATAATTGACGAATGAAATTTTTTTAATACACGTAAATAGATAACATACTAATACTATTTTATCTCATAATTGGACGGAATAAGATATTTGGCAGTAGGGCTCCGAGCGAATCGAGCCGAGTCGAATTTTAAAGTGATTCGATCTGAATCAAGCCGGATTCTTAATGTCATGTTAATAGGATTTTTATTCGAATGATTTGTTTTATTCGTTATGAATTTGAGTATTCGAAATACATTGAATGGTTATTCGAATAATTCGAATAAGAATTTGTATTACGAATAGAAACTCTGCATATTGATATTAATAACGATAAAAAAGTAATATAATTTACAGTTGCGCAATTCATTGTTTTAAATTTAAATAATAAATATAACAATGATGAATGACGAGAAATGCATTTTTGAAAATGACGCCTCTTCGCTTACTTCTTTAACAGGCACGGTGCGGTGTGTTCAAAGAAAACAAGTGGAACCATTTTACAGTTGTAGATGGAAAAGCCAAATGCAATTATTGAATTAGGTAAACATTATTTTTTTTTTTTTGACTTTCGAAACTATTTGTTCCCAAAGGCAACCCTTTTAAAACTATGCAGAATTCAAATTATTTCATATGGTATATAGTTGAATTAGATTCGAATCAAATTATTTGTAGGTTCGGTCAGGTAATTAGGTGATTTGAATCGGTCCGAATTTCATTGATTAGTTCAGAGCCTTATTCAGCTGATATTCAGCGGATATTCGTGAATAATTGATTAATCACAGATTATCCGGAGGAAACAAAAAAAGTCCACTATAACGTGATTTTACCATTGTCCACTGCAACGAGCTTTGTACAGTTTTAGAAAAGAAGAAATAAAGAATTCTTGAGATCCAATCTTAACCATGATTGCACTTCTTTTGAATTCTTCTTCCTCATATTCATGTGCGTTTGTTACGGCTTTACGATATTCCTCCATAACAGAAACCGAGACTTTTTATTTTCATCCCGTGTAACAAAAAACTATCCACCAATCAAAATTCAAAGTCTTAGTCATGTGAACCGACTTATCGGGCTAAGTGATTGATTAACAAGTAAACCTTATTATACTAAATCAGGAAGATCCAAATCCTCCCTATAGCTAATTGTGGCTTCATAGAAAGTCATCATTGCTGCTGCTGCCAC